ATATATATATATATATTGTTATAACTTTCTTACGCTAGTCCACCCCATCCTTCCGACGACCATGGATAAAGACTGAAAAGAAACTAACTTGTGCTTTCTATTTATGCACAGTATTCCTTCTCCAAACCATACCCCCTCCCATCCGACCACTGAACTCGAAGCTACAGGGCAAGCGCGCGCGCATAGCATTCCAACGGTTACATCCATTTCGAACCACTAGATGGAGCTTTATTCTCGTTCGTATACAGAATTCCTTTCGTGTATAAGATCTACTTCGAAAATTGTAATTGTCACTCTGGTTTCCCTTCAATTCACGTATAAATCTTTCGCCTTTTACTAAAGATTTCCGTGGAGGGGAACAATTGATGAGTCTATAACCTAATTTTTCGAAGACCCGACTGACGTTGGGTCAATAAACGAATTAAAACAAAATTTTTCAGCATCCCTCGCCAAGTAACAATTTGAAATTGTTATTTTCCTACAAAATATTCTTTTAACTTCTGTCCCTAGCTATGATGTAACACCTCAACATCATATACAATTCTTTATTTCTTATTCTACGTTCAACTATTTATATAAGTTATATGAGTTTTTAGTTTTCATACAATAGTTTTATTATTTTCCCATATCTCCATCTCACTTTAAATTCCATTTCAACTCACCAAATGTACTTTCCCAAAGATGTAAAGTAAAGAGAAGATGTATATTATTTTCTTTATACAAGGTCACACAACATTAAACTTTTCAACCCCGTGTTACAGTAACCCCGGAAAGTATAATAATCCCCATTGTATCCTGCATACTTGGGTTTCCGATACTGGCCCTAATGGTAATATGCTGCCTAAGAAGAAGAGCCAAATTGGCGAGAGAACGAGCAAGAAGAAGAAATTGTGATTTGGACCACGGTGCCCTTAGCTTAGTCCGTTTTAGTCCTGTTCATCGTTTAGGTGAGTCGTCTACTATAATTGTAAGTGAATAAAGATCGGATGAATTTTAATTAAATTTAGGTTAAACCAACTTTTTTTACACGAAATGAAATTGCTCCAATCTTATTCCCTTTTCCAGTATAATACACATACATAATAGCTGTTGTGTTATGTCGAATTTGTTAGAACAAGAAGAAAATTAATTTTTCTTTTCCGAAAAAATACCCTGTTATTATTTCTCTTACTACGTTTGAAAGAAAATTTTTATTTCGTCCTCTGTCTTATATATTTGTTTCATATACAGTCAAACCTCCTATAACGCTGTAAGTGC